ACCAGGGCATAAATTAATGAAATTGAAACAAAGAAAACAATACAAAGAATCAACAAATCCAAGAGCTGGTCTTTGAAAAGCTAAACAAGATAGACAGTTAACCTTAGCCCAGTTAACCAAAAGAAAGAAAGAGCGAATCCAAATCAACAAAAGCAGAGATGAAAGGGGAAGCACCACAACATACACCCAAAAGATCCAAACAATTATAAGTGTATGTTGTTATTAAATAAATCATTTTTAAAAATTAAAAAAAAAAAAAACAAAACGTTTTTAAAAAGATAGTAGAAGTCCAAGAAAGGCAATATGCAACATAAAAGAAAACCAAATAAAGGTCCCAGGATAAGAGTTCTTCAGCAGACAGGGAGAAGACTCAGCTTATACCAAAGCAGGACAAAGAGCAGTCCATGCGAGATGTTTCAAACGTGAACAGGAGGCAGGTAAGGAAAAGAAGGAGCTGAGAGATTATCAAACACTTCTGGTCACTGAATGAGTTTTATGGTTCTGTGAGAAGCCTGAAGAAGATAAAAGAAAACAATAAAATAGGAATTATCCCATCCATGGAAAAAACAAAGCTATATTAAAAAGAAAACATAATCATGTCTAGCTCTGTTTCAACAATATTCACATAATCATATAATGGTGGAAATACTAAAAAGTGGTAGGAAGACTAATCAATAGTGATTTTTAAATAATCTATAGTATTTTAAAGGAAGCAAGAAAAGAAGAAGAAAAAATTATCCGTGAAAGTATTTTCTTTTTTTAAAAAAATGTTTTATTTATTATAGTTATTTTATGTATATGAGTGTACTGTCTGCATGTAAGTGTACCCGGGTTGTGCAATGTCCACGGAGGTCAGGAGAGGGTGTCAGATCCCCTGGAACTGAAGTTATGGGTAGTTGTTAGCCAACATGTGGGTGCTGGGAACTGAACCCAGGTCCTCTGCAAGAGCAGTCAGTGCTCTTAACTGCTGAGCAGTATTTGCTTTTTAAGCCAGGCATGGTGACACATGCCTATACTATAATCTCAGCACTTGGGTAGTGAAGGCTGGAACATCAGAACCTCAGGGCCAGTCTCACCTAGATAGTGAAGAGTTTGAGGCCAGCCTGTACTATATAAGACCCTATCTCAAAAGTCATTACCTCCACCTCAAAAAAAAAAAGTATTTACTTGAGGAAAGTGAGTAGCAAATAGCTGTTAATTATATCTTTAAACACCTCACTTCAACTATGTTCATACATGATGTTTGAAAATTAGGAGAAAATCATGTCCCCATAGACTCCATTTTACAAGAGAGCCTCTCCAACAATTTTTCTAAATGACACTAACTTTTCACAGTGAAAAGATCAGTTGCCTCATAAAAGGTATGTCAGTCAATATTTGTAAGACTGTTTTTTTTCAAGGTGTTATTTAGCTGTTCCTCATACCTTGAAATGTCCTCTGAGCATCACATCCATTACTATTTTCATCAGAAGCAGCCATGAGGATTCCAAAGCACCCTTGAGTCTGGGCCTGTTGATATGCTCTCATAGAAGGAAGGAGTAGGGAGGGCCAGCAGACCCTCACCTGAGATCTCAGCCATACACTCCTGAACCTCCCTGTCAGCTTATGTATTTCTGCCCTCTTCCATTCATCATTTCCCTACAACTGTCACAGCAGATTAAAAACCTGGTGACTGCTATCACTCATCTAACAAAAATACACATTTACTTGACATGAGAAGGACAGAAGAAAAAGAGCAAAGAAAAATCTAAAGCAAGAATTCCTTCTCATTTAAATATTTCATTTTAGCATTGAAGAAAGTGATGGCCAGAAAAGCTGTACAACTTAGTTCAATCATCAAAGGCGTGCAAACAAGTGCACTGGCTCTTCATTCAGTCCTTGCTCACGTGTTATGAGCACCATGTGCTCTTCTCCATGTGGGATACTCATACACAAGATTGAAAGGAGCTAAGGAAATGGTGGTGACCTGACATCCAGGGAGAGAACTACTAAACAGGGACCAAGAACACAGAACTCACAGAATATGTACAATCAGCCCATAAACAGAAGAAACGCTAAATTAAAAACACAACTAAAAGCCCGAAGAAGTCACTACTAAACATTTTTAAGTATTTTCATTATGGTGCTAGCATTTTTATTTCAATGTATAATGATCATATTTGAAAGAATGATGCAAAAATCACAATTACAGCAGAACTTCCCATGCATTAATAGAGCAAAAGATAGCCTCTAAACACCAAGATAGCTGATGATTTTATTTCCTTCTTACATAGGCTCATCTTTATATTTTACAGGGCTGAGGATGGACCTCACATACACCAAGCAAGTACTTTATCACTTGAGCTATGCCCCAGCCCTAATTTTTTTTTCTTATAGTCTCAAAATTTTCTGTTGATGAATACTTGGAGAGGCAGTACTATTGTTTTAAATGTTAAAATAAAAAGACTCAATGGGATTGGCCTGCTGTGGATTCTTACCCATATCCCCTTTGTGGAAGACATTCTAAGATGTCATAACAGAGAGCAAGCTGGTCACTTCGTTCACAGTTGTAGATGCACTCCAGTGCTATTGCCATTAGCTGATCCTCATCAGGAATAATTTTCTGCTGCAGCTAGAGAAAATAAAACAAGCTGTACTAAATGTCATTTTCTCCATATTCCAGTGCCACTGTCAATAGAATATTAAACAGTACAATTAATCAGTCAAACAAATCTTGATTTTTTTGTAGCTTATAGACTTTTGGGGTATTTAATAATTCTAAATGAAATTACATTTTAATTACAGAATCAGCTAGAAAAGATAATTTGTAATCCATAAGCTTTGCATCTGCTAGAAACAGAGCCTTCAATTTATGACCCACTCAAGATAAAGTAGATGGGAAAAACGCAGTGAATTAAAAAGGCAGTTCATTAAAAATAACATTTCTAACCCTAAAGCCAAATTCTGTGTGTTTCAACTGCAAAAATATATGAAAGGCCTGAACTAATATTAAAAATGTTGGAGCCTATTATTTTTAGTATGCATTATATATTACTCATTAACTACACTGTACTGATGTTCTACTGAAATGCAGCCAAGTATAATGTAGTAATACAAAACCACAGAACACATTTTATTTCTGATGTAGAATGATGGCCACTTTAGGCCTCTTTCCATATAGAATACCAATTACCATTGCTCTGAACACATAAACTAACTACCTGGTACCTTGTTTTCCTAATCTATAAGGCCAAGGCCTTCCTAAGAGGTTATAGGGAGGGCTAAAGAAATTAATATATGTGGAATGCTTATGCTATTCCACCACAGAAACCATAATGGAAGCTTATGAGGACTAAATGAGTTAATCAAGAAGAACCAGAGAAACAAAAAGGAAAGCCTGAAGCAATTTCATAGAGCTTTGGTGACAGAACCCATAGCCTTGACTAAGTAAGGCTTCTGCCACAGTTATATTCTATCCCATATCAGGTAACAGCATTCTACTGGATTTTAACATTTACTAGACACCAATATATGCAAGATAGAAAACTGATGGCAAAGCTGCCACACACAGGCCGCTGCCTTAGTAAAAGAAGCACAATATGGGTATACATAAAAGCAGCCAAGGTTACTAAAGCTTTATAAAGCAGATAAGGTAAAGGATTCATACAAACATCTTCAAGATATTATGAAAAAATACTATGATCAATTTGGGACTAACACTGACAAGATTACTCAAGGTTACAAAGTGACCAGGTGGTGAAATAAGGACAAGTGGGATATAAGAAATATAAATACTGTTAGAAAGTAATACAACTAGCTAACCTGTGCAGATTCTTATTTTGTATAGAGTAACATTCCTAAGTACCTTTACATGCTTTAATTTACAAACTTTCATAACAACTCTGAAAGACTGATTCCAGTATTATTCCTATTTTACATAAAGGAAAAAACTGAAGCATTAAGGGGTTACATGACTTAGTCAAGGTGTTGAAGCTAGTAAGTGGTAAGGCCAGGATTGAGATTCAGGCCACTGGCTGCAGGGTTTGAACCAAGCAGCACAGGCTCTAGGAGTCCTGAAAGTGTCTCCATATGTAGGGAGACTGGAGGAGACTGAGGAGACCGAGGAGACTGAGGGAAGCCACCGCAGTGAAGAGTTCATCACGAGATGAAAATACCCAGGAAAGTAAACAAGCTCCACTGTAAGGCAGCCTAGGAAGCCAACTAAATCAGAAGTCACGTCCTTGTGTCCTGTACTCCCCTCTCTGAGACACTAACAAGCCACTTTTCAGTTCCGTGTCCTACAGTTTATGTTTGATAGTATATGCTCAAAACTTAAAATGAAAGGCTTTTAATGGACCGTCAATGTGAAAGGTAAGAAAGAAACTTCTGCTTTGCACTCAAACTCATCTTGACCTCATACTAATCTCCTTTTGTTTTGTTTTTTTAAGTCAAGTCTCACTGTGCCACCTAGTTACATCCTAATTCCTGAGTTAAGCAACACTCCTACCTCCACCTCCCATGTGGCTAGGACTACAGGCTGTGCCACCATGTTGCACTCATGAACCAGCTACCCTTCAGAAAGTATCACCATACTCAAATTAGTTATCACTAGCTATCTGCAGGAAATTTATTCCAGGACTCAGCAAAATCTGTGCATGCTTAAATCTTTTATTTAAAATGACATAGAATTTGTACATGAAGTTTATATACACTGCTCTAGATTTTATTTCATCTCTTAATTATATATAACACTTGGCAAAATGTGGGTGCTATGCAAGCAAATGTCATACTACTGTTTAGGGAACAAAAACGAGAAAAAAATTTACATGCCCAGTTCAGTACACAGATTTTCTTCCAATATTCTGATCAAGGCTTAGCTATGTCCAAAGCTGGTTAATGCTGAGAATGCAGAATCTGCAGATATGTAAGTCCAACTATGCTTCTCCTGCAGGAATAAGAGAATTCTGGCTATGATGCCTCATCTTAGTCTGTTTTACCTGGGATATCTTTTCAAGAACATAGTCTGCCCATGTCTAAAGCCTACTAGTAATCTGGGTTTATTCCATTTGACCTGAACTTCAATAGGACTTTCCCCATTTTATATGGTTCATGGTACAGGTTCTATAATGCTAGTCCAGTGAAAAGACTATTTACAACTTGGAAATAGAGTCCTTTTTTGCTATGTATTCGTTCAAAGCCCAAGTTTTCTGAGGAAGACAGAGCCTTAGGTTTGGGGAAAAAAAAGAACACAGGCCAATGTCTCTTCAAGTCTGGGATGGAGTGCCCTAAGGAGGCGTCTCAATTTGATTCTCCTTCCTTAGCTGCTCCCTTCCCTCATATCTACCAACCCCTGAGTAGAATTCTTATTAGGAAGCCAAAGATGAAAAATAAAAGCACAGAAAATAAACCAAATTGCCTATTCTATGAAAAGCCCTTCCCATCTGTTCAGAGCCCGGGTGTGGAGGCACTAGGGGATTGGGTGGGCAGGCCATCTGTGGGCCTGTGAATTGCCTCAGGTCTCTAGGGAGTGGGAGATGGAGGGGAAGAGGTTTGGAGACATAGATTTTCACCCTGGAACCTAGGGGTAAAGCTCCCCTTGGGAACTTGGAGAGGTGTCCAAACAAGGATGAGCCCTATAGTGAGACTGTCAAGGTGAGCTTGTGTGTGTGTGTGTGTGTGTGTGTGTGTGTTATCACATCACACAGAATATACCAAACCATCTTATTCAACTGTACACCCACTTCCCATATGGCACCCTCCCATAGCCTTCCTCCCCTGACTAGAGCCCTAATACTCCATTATCCCTGCTACTATCCACTGTGATGTCGGCTATGTATTCTTTTTTTTTTTCCTGTGGGTGCTGGGATTGGATAATTTTATTTGTTTTACTTTATACTTTTTCCATAATCAGTATATATTTCTTATACAGTCAAAAACTAACTTGGGACTGGAGAGATGGCTCAGTGGTTAAGAGCACTAGCTGTTCTTGCAGAAGACCTGGGTTCAATTCATAGCACCCACATGACTGCTAACAACTGTTTGTAACTTGAGTTCTAGGGGATTTTACATCTTACACTCTCTTCTTACCTCTGTGGGCATTACATGACACAGGTGCACTCACATACATGCAGACAATATACTCATATATATATAATAAAAATAATAAATAAAATATTAGAAAATTAACTTATATCTAAAATATCTTTTAGTTTTATGGAGTAAAGAAGACTATTTGTAGTT